AGAGAAGCCTGCCACAGGACAGTAAAACATCCAGCTGTCCTTTGGGCAATGTCCTTGCAGATCGCCAATTCTCTCACATCAGAAGCGACTTGCAGTTTCTCAAGTCACTCTTGACACAAAATAATGCATTTCATTTGGTTTTCTTAGGCAAGGAATACTGAAAGGTGTGTGTGGTGGTGGTGGGAGTTGACATTGCTTTCCCATTAAATACGTATATACTATAGCACCTAGCATTCCTTAGTAGTTCCTCATCCAAGTACTGACCAAGCCCGAACCTTCTTAGCTTCAAAGATCAAATAGAATCTCACTCCTTCAAGAGATTTAGGTTCCTATATGAGAACTAATAGGGCTTGCTTTTTAACACAAACACAACTCTGGAGGAGGGATTTGCCTTAAAAACACAGTAGGAGAAATAAAGGTTAATTTTTTTCCCCATTACTTACCTCTTACTTGTGGGATTAAAACAAACAGAAGTTTCAGATTTGAAGACATACTTGAGATGAAACCCTACAAGGCAGAGCGTAAGGCTTCACCCCTACAGTTCAGATGGACTAATGCTTTCCCTGCCCATATGGTATTGGTATAAAATAAGAATTAAAGATTCAGCTTTATGCTGATCTATTCTAGTGAACTTAAACAATTCTATCTTGACAATCGCTCACGTCCTATCCATGGTCTGTATAGTTTTGTTGAGCTCTGCCATTTATGCAGTGCTAGAAATGCTGTAACCACAATAATAAGAGTCCAGGATCAACAACTAAATGTTACATCTACATAAAGTGCTAGACCTTTAGAATATCCTCCTAAACAACAACACTCTCTGGCTACATTGTGTGCTGATCATCTAGACTAGTGGTTCTCAATCTGTGGGTCCCCAGGTGTTTTGGCCTACAACTCCCAGAAATCCCAGCCAGTTTACCAGCTGTTAGGATTTCTGGGAGTTGAAGGCTAAAACATCTGGGGACTCACAGGTTGAGAACCACTGATCTAGACCTTAGATAGGATTTTCCACATATGTATTAAATACAGCGCACACATGCTTTACTTTTTTCCTTGACGTCCCATGAAAGCTTAAAATAACTTTATGTTGACTCATGCTATGAGTTAGTGAGGAACTTGAAAGCAGTGCTGTGCTTGGTAGTTCCCTTGGTGGTTCCCTTGTTGTTTGTTGTCTGCTTACCTTCCTGCTCAATTTCAGGGATCATCCTAGCTTCATATCCCAGCTGGGAGAATATGGTAGGTCTGATATTTCAATCCTACCTTACAGCGTAAGATAACTTCCTAATATTGTACAAAGCTGAACAATGGTATGGGATACTAAGCCAGTGCCTATTTCTAGCCAAGAGAAAAAGAAACAGTTGTCCTCCTGAATCTCTCTCTGTTGCTCCTATGTAAGCTTCCTAGAGCAAGCTAGGAAGAGAAAGCAGTCTTCATAGAATCATAGAATCAAAGAGTTCGAAGAGACCTCATGGGCCATCCAGTCCAACCCCCTGCCAAGAAGCAGGAATATTGCATTCAAATCACCCCTGACTTGCTGTCCAACTTGCACAGGTTTAATGAATTTTGCAAATTGTTCTTGTTCCAAACAACGTAATATCTTAGTTAGGTGCTAGATCAAGTGTCATAAGCAAGTCACCCCTTGAGCTGTTGCAGAAGACATTTCACTACTCATTGCACAAGGTGATTCATCAACCATGCTGTTATTCTGTAAACTGTGGCCCAACAAGGCCAAGATGATCAAATGCTCACACCTTGAAGGAACTTTCCTGCCATGTCATGACAGCTTCCATGCTTTGTTCCACAAGCAATTTCACATACTGTTTCACTAGCTGTTATTCAATCACTAAAGCAGCCATTCTCAGCCTGGGGGTTGTGACCCCTAGGGGGGTGATTGGCCCCACCTCCTCTGCCTCCCCAGACTGGCTGCCAGGCCCCCTCTGCCAGCCAAGTGGCCTGCCAGTACCTGTTCCCATGCCACTTCACCTCCTGGCTGACAGAGCCAAGGTTGGCTCCATTGAGAGGGAGGCCTGGGGAGACTGGGTGAAGGATGCCACCTTTCCCTCCTCCTCCTCAGCTGGTGAGGCAGCAGCTCTGGAAAGCCAAGGAGGAAGATGTGAAGGTGGCCATGGTACCTTCACTAGTCGTTTCCCTCTTTCTCCTTGGCTCCTGGGGCTGCTTGGCATTTTGCCAACTTGCCCCTTTGTCGGCTGCTTTGCAGCATGTCTCTTCATTGGCCACTTTGCCAGCTTGCCCCTTTGCCAGCCCCTTTGCTTTGCCTCTGCCACGTTACTGTGCCGCTGGAGGAAGAAGAGGAGAAGTTCTTCTACACCTATCTGTTCAGAAGATGTCACCTCACTTTCTATCCCTGTGAGAATTGAATTTTGAAAAAAATGGAAACAAGAATTGGAGATAAAGCTTCAGTGGAGACACTTTTCCCTTTGCTAACCCTTTCAGGAGTGCATTCCCTTCCAAAGGATAGATTCCTCCCCTGTTGTCTCAGCCCCATTTTAACTAGTTGTTTTCAACTCAGGGACAGCCTGCAGTCTGCAGAACAACTTTGTCACACAAATGTGAACAGTCTTAAGAATGAAGTTATGAAGTAGCAATGAGAATAAGTTTATTGTTGAAAGTCACCACAACATGAGCAACATGAGGGTTATGGCATTAGGAAGGTTGAGAGCCACTGTCCTAGAGGAACAATGTTGTCTCTTTTTGGCTAGAATCTCATTGATATTGTTGGTATCACAGATTTGCCCAAATTCCCTACAGGATTAGCTGGACATTTTGTCCAATGTACAATATTAAAGATTAAAGGTTGCAGAAACAAAGTTGTGCATGCAATACCAATCTGCATGGAGATGCAATGAATCTCTGGTTATTCCATTTAGTTACATGTTTGGGACCTTGGTTCAGATGTACAACAATGTAATTAACACCAGGGAAGTATAACTTTATATGTTGAAGTTTATGTTATGTGATCCTGCTATAAGATCTGGCCACTATTTCCTACGAGAACACTGGATATTATCCAGTGTATTAATCATTGGATAATACACAATATTTTTCAGGCTTGCGGTATTTCTTATGAGTCAAATACAATGAGACAGAAGGAGACATATATAATAAACAGGGTGGAAGATCTCATGAAAAATTGGCAGTTGATCAGATAAATAGATCTTTCACTTCTGAACAGCTCTAGTTTTTAATATATGGCTTGAGATATTTCTGCTTATCTCCTGGGGAGATAATTGAATTTGTAACATGTGTACAGTAATCCATCTTAAATATCACAGCCGCTATTTTAAATCCTTCATTATCTTTCTCTGTTCCATGGGCTCTGATTATTTCTGTTTAAAAGAGAATATTTACCCATGTCCTTTCCCATTTTCCTTCTTGGTTTTTGCTCATTTTAATGTTGACATCTGTTGCATTATTAATGTGTTATGTTCCATTGAAAGTGTAATTCTGTAGCAAAAGAACAAAATATAACTCCTGTAAATAATCTGGTGAGATTTCTTCTTCTTTTACTATAATCAACACTAAGCCTACTGGAATTGTAAGAGTAAACTTTCCCATTGCCATTACTGCAGCATTTTCTTTTGCAAACAAGTAGAAAGTTTCTTCAAGGCTAAAAAATTGCGGTTAGACAGCTCTACTTTTCCTCACCCCTTTCTTCACATTTTTTGTCCTTTATGTTTATGACCAAATTATGTGTCAAAATTTTGGCAAGAATTTACAAATGGCCAAAAATGTGTCTACATGACTTACTGCAGAATCATAGTACTTTTGTTTTAGGAATCTGAATCAACTAAGGATTTATTCGTCTTGAACCCACTTTCATTCATCCTACCCACATGTTCTTGGAATTATCTTTGTAGATATCTAAAGAATGTTCTCTTTCCTTGTTAGCTTTAAATTTCACCTCAACACACCTTGTCCTCCTTCTTTAAAGCCTGCATTTTGTTTGCATTTTATTTACATTTTACCTTCACAGATTATTGGTTAAATTTACCTTGAGATTATATGTTTTAATGTACATTCAGACATATATGAGAGAGTAAAGGTTTCCCCTTGACATTAAGTCTAGTCATGTCCGATTCTGGGGAGTGGTGCTCATCTCCATTTCTAAGCTGAAGAGCCAGCGTTGTCCGTAGATGCCTCCAAGATCGTGGCCAGGATGACTCCATGGAGCACCTTTACCTTCCCACTAGAGTGGTACCTATTGATCTGCTCACAATTGCATGTTTTCTGCTGGGTTAGCAGAAGCTGGGCCTAACAGCGGGAGCTCACCATGCTCCCCAGATTCAAACTGTGGACCTTTCGTTTAGCAAGTTCAGCAGCTCAGTGGTTTAATCAGTTGCACCACCATGGGCTCTATATGTGTGTGAGTGTGTGTGTGTGTGTGTGAAGAGGAGTGATATCTCCTCCTCTGGGACCCCTGCAAAAACCAATTGACCTACAACAGAAACCACGTCTGATACAAAATTCAAAGAAGTTGCCCTGCTAGTCGCCTGCTCCATGAAAAGGAGGACGGAAGAGGGCAGGAAAATGTCAGTGTGGCATCACCTTTAAGACTAACATAGGGCCAATCTACAGCAGGCATGGACAAACTTTGACCCTCCAGGTGTTTTGGACTCCAACTCCCACAATTCCTAACAGCCGGACAAAGCTTGCCCATGCCTGATCTACACCATAGAAATAATGCAGTTTGATATCACTTTTACTGCCATGGCTCAGTGCTATAAAGCCATGGGGATTGTAGTTTGGTGAGGCACCAACACTCTTTGACAGAGAATGATAAAAATCTTGAGAAACTGTGACTCCCATGATTCTGTAATATTAAACAGTTAAAGTGGTCCCAGGACATGAAAGTTCCCAGACCTGCCACAGTTGCTCACCTTTGTGAAATGTGATAAAAGAAATAAAACGGGACAGCATCAAATAAAGACATACCCAACAGACAATGTTTTCCTGTTGCATGGTCATTGGTTCATACTTACTGCTCTTGTCACAGAGAGGAATCTGTCGTAGCTGATCAGCACAATGTTGAAGACCGAAGTGGTGCACAGCAGATAATCAATCACCAGCCAGAGCTTGCAAAAACTTCTCCCGAAGGTCCATCTCCCCGTTATTACGTAGGGTACGTACAATGGGATACAAAAGGCACCTGCAATGAGAGAGCTTGATTTGTGTCCTCAAGTGTTTCTTCCCTGGAGCATAAAAAGGCCGCACAATTCAGCATATTTGTCAAAGCTGGCTCCTACCTGTTGTCTTTCAAAGTCCTAGTTGAATTATTGGGAGATTACAATGGCCAAAGGGAAATATCATAACCTCCGTTTGTGTCAATAGGACAAGGGTTTCCAAATGAAGCAGAGAGTGTTTGAGGATCCGTAGGGATACCAAGGTGCTTGTTTATAAAGCCTCTCAACCCTGCTAATGCCTGTGAAACGTGGACAGTCTATAGACGTCATATGCAACTCCTGGAACGATTCCATCAGTGCTGCCTCTGAAAAATCCTACAAATCTCTTGGGAAGACAGGCAAACAAATGTCAGCATGCTGGAAGAAGCAAAGACCACCAGCACTGAAGTGATGCTCCTCCACCATCAACTCAGCTGGACTGGCCACGTTGTCTGAATGCCCAATCACTATCGCTCAAAGCAGTTACTCTATTCTGAACTCAGGAATAGAAATTGGAACATTGGTGGAGAGGAAAAGAGATTTAAAGATGGTCTTAAAGCCAACCTCATAAACTGTGGTATAGACACCGAGAACTGGGAAGCCCTGACCCTTGAGCACTCTAACTGGAGGTCAGCTTTGACCAGCAGTGCTGCAGAATTCGAAGAGGCATGAATGGAGGGTGAAAGGGAGAAATGTGCCAAGAGGAAGGCACATCAAGCCAACCCTCACCGAGACCGCCTTCTGTCTGGAAACCAATGTCCTCACTGCAGGAGAACATGCGGATCAAGAATAGGGCTCCACAGACACCTATGGACCCACTGCCAAGACACCACATCTGGAAGATGATCATCCTCAAGCTAAGTAAGTAAGGGCAAGGGTATTCCTAATTGATTCCCTGCCATCCTATTTTTAACATTGCTTTTGAAATGTCCATTTCTCTCTCCTCCTCCTCCTCCTCCTTTTCCCTTTCATTCTCAGTTGGCTTCAACTGAGGCAAGCTTAGCTCGGAAAAGTAGTTTGCAATGCATTCAGTTGATACAGTAGAAGGAAGATTTGGAAAGGGGCATAATAATCATGCCCTTCACAGTAGGCTCACACAAACATAAATTGCTGCAGCCTCTCAGTTCTTTCGCATGAATGACCTTTGCCATCTCTACCACACTCCTTTTTGGAACTGGCCAAGTATGTCCTGATTTTCACCTGTAAAATGCTGGAGGGTATGAAATGCATCAGTCAGGGGATGTTGAGCAGAAGCATGGCACTATCTATAGGAAGGAGAGTTGTAGCAAAAGCAGTCAATAGATATAAGGCAATGTTTGATATTATTATTATTATTATTATTATTATTATTATTATTATTAGTCATAGTAGTAGTAATAGCACCTCATTTTCTTTCTCAAGTCTGAGGCGTAAAGTAGATCACAACATGCACATTTTGTCTGCTGTGGTTTCATGAAGGTGGACTTCTGACAAGTGATAAATTTTGCCACAAGTTTGAGCAATAGATGATTTTAGGCTGCATCAATTTGGATATAATGACTACATTGAGTGAAGTAATCCCACCACTCTATTCTATTTTGATAAGACCACACCTGAAATACCAGTTCAATACATCACAATTCAAGAAGTCTATTGACAAGCTGGAACATGTCCAGAGTAGGCCAATCAGAATGGTAAAAAGTCTTGAATCCAAGTCCTTTGGGGAGTGGCTTAGGAAGTTGGGAATGTTGAGCCTAGTGAAGAAAAGATTAAGGCAGTGATTTTCAACCCGTGGTCCCCAGATGCTTTTGGCCTACAACTCCCAGAAATCCCAGCCGGTTTACCAGCTGAAGGCCAAAAACATCTGGGGACCCCAGGTTGAGAACCACTGGATTAAGGTTTTTTTAAAATCGTGCCCAAAGTGAATAGAGAACATACTGCAAGACACTTCTGATGTGAGAGAATCAACCATCTACAAAGACATTGTCCAGAGTACGCTCAGATATGTTACCATCCTGTGGGAGGCTTCTCTCATGTCTCTACATAGGAAGCTGGGGCTGGCAGATGGGAGCTCACCCTGTCTCATGGATTCGAACCACCAAACTTCAAGACAGCAGTTTAGCCAACACAAGGGTTTAACCTATTGTTCCACCACGGCTCTTTATTAAGAAGTGACATGATAGCCATGCTTTAATATGTGAAAAGATGTCGTATATATTTTGGAGCTAGCACGGTTTCATCTACTCTAGAGATTAGGCACAGAACCATAGTTTCAACATAAAGAAAGAGAGAATCCACCTAAACATTGGGAAGAATTTCCTGGTGATAGCAGCTGATCAGCAGTGGAAAACGCAGCCCCAGAGAGTCACAGAGTCTCCTTCTGTAGAAGTTTTTAAGCAGAGGTTGAGTGGCCATCTTCTGGGGATGCTTTCATTTTGTGTATTCCTGCTTAGAAAAGGGTGAATTGGATGACCCTTGTGGTCTCTTCCAACTTTGTGATTCTATTACATAGCCTCAAAATAAATAATTGTAAAAACCTCAAAAGAAACACTAATTTGAATGTCTTGATTGTAAATGAATAAAAAAATCACCAGAGCAGCAAGGCTGCAGTTAAGTAAATGAGGAACATTCAGATTCATAATTATGGAAGAATCAATATGATCAGTCAGTCATGTTCTTATCTTAATGGTACACAAGCAAGCAAAATCCTGAGAAATGGTTTATTTTGTTCCCTTCTGCAATGGAGCCAGACATGGCTTCATTTGCCTCCCTCTCTTTTAACACAAAATCTGTCATGGATGCATTTGAATGATAATGGATTTCATTTCCAAATGACAGTAGGAGATAAACTATCTCTTTCTAACTTCTGATAAAATGACATAGATTTAGTATTATTGTACCCTTGTCCAGTGCTGACAGGTCCTGCAGTAAACCCAGGATTACAAACTCCAATGCAGTTCACTCCCGAAGCACCTTTTTTGGTGGTTCCCTAAATGGACCACAGAACAAGGGTAGGCCTCAAGCCTCCCTCATAGACAAGCCAGTTGGGTTAAGCCCTCCACTTAATTTATTAAGCAAATTAAAACCCAAGTCATCTAGTCACTTCTGATTTATGGCAACTTTCTTGGCAGAAGTTGTTCAGAGGAGTTTGCTCTTTCCTTCTTCTGAAGAGGAATGAGCATGATTTGCCTAGATTTCCATGTCCAAATGTGGATTTGGATCGAGTGTCCTAGTAATATACACTTTATTTATATTCCGCTTTATCTCCCAGGAGGGACTCAAAGTGGATTACAGTATACACATATGAGGCAAACATTCAATGCCCTTTACACAGTGAACAACAACAACATACAATACACAGATAAAAGTAAAGGCCTTCATCTTTTTCATCTCCGGCGTCTGAAAGTGAGGAGGGGAGGTGCTCTAGTATTCATTTTCCATGCGGAGGAGCCTGTTGTCCATAGACATCTCCAATTGTGTTGTCTGCATGTCTGCATAGGACACCCTTTTACCTTCTCAACGAGGTGGTACCTATTGATATACTCGCATTGCATGCTTTTGAACTGTTAGGCTGGCAGAAGCTAGGGCTAATAGCGGGAGTTCACCCTGACTTGCGGCTTTGAACTACTGACCCTCAGGTCAGCAGATTTCTTGCAGCTAGTAGTTTAATCCACTGTGCTATCGCAGTTCCAATACTTGAACCATTACAACATTCAGAAAGAGATGTAAGATGCCCTTTCCTGACATTTGGGTATTGGTTACTCTATCACAGGATTTTCTAGGCCAGTTCTAGTCACATGGCCTTTGCCACTGCTTTTGGCCAAAAGTGTGACTTGCCCATCACCCAATCAATTTCCATGATGGAGCACAGATTTGAACCATGGCCCTCAAAGTCCTAGTCCAACACTCAAATCACCACACCATACCAACTCTCTTGTGTGTATAACTGTGCTCTTAACTCACCTGTTGATTTCTTGTGACTCCACTAATTTCAAAGGAATACTCAGAGATGGCTTTGCCAATTCCCTTTTTCTCAAAAATGGCCTACAACTCCTGGTATTTGTTGGTGGTCTCCTATCCAAGTGTTAACTAGGCATGGCCTTGTTTAGCTTCCAGGATCAAAGACTTTAAGGTTCTATGGTCCTTTGTGCCACCATCAGCACTATTCTCAAGGACTTGTTTTGTAACCTTCCACACTAATGCCAGTTAGTTGAAGACGGCTGAAGACGTACCTTTGCTCGTTGGCTTATGATGATGAGGAGGAGGGGGGGGGGGAGGAGGAAGAATAGATTGTTGTACTATTCCATCTGAACATTAGGAAGAACTTCCTGACTGTGAGAGCTGTTCAGCAGTGGAACTCTCTGCCCCAGAGTGTGGTAGAGGCTCATTCTTTGGTAACTTTTAAACAGAGGCTGGATGGCCATCTGTTGGGGGTGCTTTGAATGCAATTTTCTACTACCGTTATTCCCCTGATTAATAGCTGTCATCCATACCCATGCCTTGTTCACCACCAGCAAAATAGACATCTTGAGCAATGATCAATCTATTTTCCCCAAGGAACTGGTAAATTGATGCTTCTGTTTGATGTTCTGATTCATGTCTGACATAACAGGTTGCATTTTTCACTTAATTTTAGTTGTTAAGTCATAATTTGTTTTTATATGTTGGGTTGTCAATTTTAATTATCATGAGTGATTGTTTTATGTTCAGGCACTGAATGTCTGCCTTTTATCTTTGGAATCCACGCCGAGTCCCTCCAGGGAGGTAGGGTGGAATATAAAATGAAGTTCAACAGTGACAAATGCAAGTTACTCCACTTAGGCAGAAAAAATGAAATGCGAAGATACAGAATGGGGGACGCATGGCTCGACAGCAATACGTGTGAAAAAGATCTTGGAGTCCTTGTGGACAACAAGTTAAACATGAGCCAACAATGTCATGCAGCAGCAGCAAAAAAAGCCAACGGGATGTTGGCCTGCCTAAATAGGATTATAGTGTCTAGGGAAGT